GTATTTTTACTTATAGACTTATACATTAGATAAACTATTTTAATTTGGACACTTTCTTTACTTGATTTTTATAAAGCACAATTAAAACAGACGATATGTCTGCAATCATTAGCTCCAAGAGTGTCAAGCATTATAGTAGCGTGCATATACTGCTTGTTGTTAATGTTAGATTTACTATTGTAATATGTCGAACTTTAAAATCAACTTTTTCACACATTCCATTTACATAATCGTCGCATATGCTACAATGTTGTAACGTTCGGCCTATTTCTCTTTTCATATGATCGGTTACTCTTCCTGTTGTTTTGTAACGATATTGTTCTACACCGGTACAATGTAAATATGGACATCTTTCAGTGTGACATGTAGTATTTTGATATTGAAAACAAAATTTATAAGGATGCAAGAAACCGCAATCTATATCAAAACAACAATTATTCTTATATTTTGTGCATTCTTGAACATTTGGTTTTCTGAAATAAATAAGATTTGTCACGGTGAGTATATATTTAATCAAATTGAGCAAGTGTAGTTGTAAGATATTTAATAGGAGTTGTAATTGTACAATAATTAGAAATCTAACCTTGAGCCGTAAAAAGACATCTCTTCTTAAGAAATGGCAATAAAGGACCAAAAAAAAACGTGAAGTACAAAAATAATAATGGTAACGTGTAGAGTAATAATAACGACAAGAGCAATATAGTATTAACGACAAGAGCAATAATATTAATGACAAAGGCAAAACTGGTAACGCAGACATAAAAACTTGCACTTAATATTAAGATTTAAATATGTGTAACACATGGTTTTATTTGTAAACTATGTTCCAAAATTCACTCCCCGAAAATTTACAACATACATGACGTGAACTATGAATTTTTAACGCCGACGAATGAATTGCTGAACACAGCCATAGTGCGATGAAATCTGTTTGTTTTACATGCACTTTTTGCATTTTTTTTTTTAATCAATCAGTGGGTCGATTCTGTATCCACGCAAAGTAGTGAAAATTACAAAAGTGAGTAAATGTACTAGTTGTTGACCAATAAGATCATAGATATTTTAATTAATTTGCTTATTTTTGTAATTTTTATTACAGCGTGATACAGAATCGACTCCTTGATCGACCATGGCTGCGGTCCGTTTCATGCTTAAGCGTATATTTATTTATAGTATACGTGACATATACTAAATGCGCGATTAAGCATGAAACGGAGTCCATGTGTTTGGTCGTTGGCTCCACGTTATTTCTCATTTATGTTTGATTTGGATGAATTGCTTCATTCTTTAATTACGTGCTCAAATCTTTAGTGGATAAATGAAAAACCTGAAAACAT